AATGCACACTTGCATTGCCTACTAAGAAAGTTAGTACCGGTAGTCAGGTTAAGGAAGGGGCATTGTTGGGTGTGTGCCAGGAGGTAGAACCAGTCAATGTTAAAGCAAGAAATACAACTATAAAGAAAGGACATACACTTCCAGAACATTCAACTGACCTCTATAAGAAGAGCATAGTCCATTTGTCATCATCACAGGCTCTTCAGGTTAGAGAACTTTTAGCGATTTATGCAGACGTCTTTTAGAAAGGAGATCATGACCTCCGCTGCACAGACCTTGCAGAGCACAGAATAAAAACAGGCAATAACCTTCCAATAAATATCCCTCCGAGGAGAATAGCTCCAGCAAAGCGACAAGAGATAGAGAAGGTCATGGATGGCCTAATTAAGGAAGGGATAGTCGAGAAATCAGATAGTCCCTTGTCAGCTCCCATCGTGTTAATCCAGAAGAAGGACGGGACCCAACATTGCTGTGTGGACTTCAGGGCTCTTAACAGTATAACTGAAAAAGACTCATACCCACTGCCAAGAACTGATGATACTTTTGATGCCCTAAGTGGAGCCAGGTGGTTTTCAACTCTGGACTTAAAGTCGGATTTCCATCAAGTGAAAAGAGCTGAAACAGATAAACCTAAGATAGCATTTAGTTATGGTCAAGATCAATACTAAGGAAGGGGCAGTGTTACTACAGCGGAAGTCACGTGACGCCGGTAACACGCAATGAGTATCTCGAACGTTCCTGAAGGCTCAAGTGTTTGCTAGACGTCCTCTATTTTGTATATATAAGACCGGCGAGAAGTGACGGTAGATAGTTGAATAGCAGACAGGGAGATAGAGACAGATATCGAGTCAAGCCGTAAGGGCCCGGTATGGCTAGGTGGTTAGGGCACTCGACTCGCAATATACGGGTCGCGGGTCCGAATCCCCGTCACACCAAACATGCTCGCCCTTTCAGCCGTGGGGGCGTTATAATGTAATGGTCAATCCCACTATTCGTTGGTAAAAGAGTAGCCCAAGAGTTGGCGGTGGGTGGTGATGACTACCTGCCTTCCCTCTAGTCTTGCACTGCTAAATTAGGGACGGCTAGCGCAGATAGCCCTCGCGTAGCTTTGCGTGAAATTCAAAACAAACAAACAAACAATCAAGCCGTAAGTAAATTGTGTAAATCGTTGTGAATTATAGCGTGTGTTTAAGTTAAAGTGACTGTGCAAATTAAGTGTATTGCAAGTTTGTATTGAGAAAGAATAAACTAGTTTTATTTAAGAAAGGACTTGTATCGCTGAAGTTTCATCCGAAAGAAATTATACGGGAAATTAACAAACGAACACAGAGACCAGAGACGTAACAGTACTGATCCCTTAACACTGGGCCTCATAAAGGAAAATAATCGATATGATATTATTTTGTTATAATTATATTATAGGAACTTGTTGACTTGCGAAATCGCAGAGTGCAATTGATTCTTTATCGCCCACGTATAACTAGTTTCGAAATTATTAAATCTGTAAATGGTCAAACAGCCCTGTTTAGATGTTTCTGTAATTCTAATTAAAAATGCCATTACAAAAAGTATTTCACATACCAAAACTAGTTTTAAAATTTTGAATGTTGAAAGAAGGCACAATTTAATTCTTATACCTTTCGGTTAGAAAAAAACGGCATGCATCAAATCACGAGTGAAGAGTGTAGTGTCGCTCTTTCATGTATATATAGCGCGTGCTACCGCTTAGTAATTGTTATATATAACATCTCAGTTATGTCTTCAAAACGTCCCCAAGAAAACGTAGTACTTGAGACCACTCAGAAACGTATATGTCACGTAATGAAATCACGTAACACAAGCATCAAATTGTAACTATAGGGTGACGTCACAAATACGTGTCGTCTTTGGTGGGATTATTCCTTGTATCTTATTGAAAACTTATTTTACAGTAAATATTTTTATAAAAAACTGGTACTGGTTTTTTCTTCCAAGCATACTTTCTAAGACACATTTCAAGAAATCATTTTTATCTTAAGTCTTCACTAATGCTACATCTTTTTAATACTTTATAACAAAATAATTAAAGAAGTATCTGTGAAAGATCTGTTTAAACAGAGATACCTTTTTCACCAGGTGAATAGTTTGACTTGTCAGTTTCAATAAAGGTAAGTACTCCTGCAGAAGAAATCTGTACTTCTCTTTTTTCGTTAATCTCAAAATGTGGATTTGAGGGGAAGTCAACTTGTACTTGAAGCTCAGCCAGTTTAACGTTAACATTATTAACAGGCAGGTGAGAACAAGAAAGTAACAGACCACCATCTGAGTGAAATAAAAAAATAATTAATCAAATCTGAAAAATATTTTGAACTTTTGTAATAGCATGCTATTATATTCATACTAGTTATTTATGTAGGTTTTTCTGTTGCAATAAAAAATGAGAGGTCAAGTTTGTCACAACTGTGTTTTGTGTAGCTTAAATATTTTAATATTAAATCTTTACACACTTATACATTTATTATGAAAACCTGGTTCTTTTCTAGATGACATATTTACCGAGATTGTAATTTTATAGAACTGTTTTCTTTGTAAATATAACATCTTTATATGGCTGGTTCCTTTATTAAAATTAGATTGTTTTTTAGTTTTGCATGTAAACCGTTTTTGTTAAATATTATTACTTTTTGTTTCAAAATTACAATTTTAAACAACAGAAAGCCTGATTTTAAGGTTTATTTTTTATATAAAACTTGTTTTTAGCAAATTATGAAGATATTATATTTCCCCTTCTAAATTGTGTAAAATAATTTAATTGATTTTCTTTAAATTTATATAAATTACAATGATTTTTCCTGTCTATGTTTTCATATAAATTTTTTATAGTATTTTTGAGTTGATGGTGCTGTCATCTTTTTAATAATATTGTTACTAAATTTAATGCCTTTACCGTGTGTTGAAGTGAAAAACAAACTTTAGTATTTCATTAATAGCTTATTCACTTAAATACATCCTAGAGTGCTGAAACCATGTACTGATGTAGTAACATTCCCCAGTTCATATTTATATGGAGAAGATAATATATATGTACTCCTTTGTTTACAATATGTTTTATCATCTACATGAGAACAACACTAATTTTAGGACTTTTTGATTGATTAATTAATTCTTTTAATTTATAATAGGTATTAGACTGACTTTTTTATGTGATGTTAAAATATTCTGTAGATCCGTCCAAAAACATAAAAGTAGTGCCACTATAAATATGTATATTCATTACATCACCGTAGGGCTTTTTCTGTAACTCTGCTGTAACTCTTGATTGGCCCGGCATGGCCAGGTGGTTAGAGCGCTCGACTCGCAATTTGAGGGTCGCGGGTTCGAATCCTCGTCCCACCAAACATGCTCACCATTTGATATAATGTGATGGTCAATCCCACTATTCGTTGGTGAAAGAATAGCCCAAGAGTGGGTGGAGCTGCTTTCCCTCTAGTCTTACACTGCTCAATTAGGGACGTGTAGCATTGGGCGAAATTGAAACCAATTCTTGATTGGCAGCTTTATGGTGACAGGTCATGTTCCATTGAAAGCTCAAGGATGTGGATTGTTTGGGTGATGATGTTTTGCAATGGTCAGACTGGGGATTATTTCATGAGACTTGAGCTCAGTTAGTACTGGTGTGAGTTGCTGTTCCAGGATCCAAAGTCTGGTCACAGAAGATTTCTTAACATTTTTAAATTTTATAATATACAAAACAAAATGTTTATGACTAATACTATTTGACAATGTAGTTTGGTACATAAATTTCATCCATATTTTTTACAAACTTTTATGACATATCACAAAATCTTTTGTTCTCTTTAATTGTCAGTACTTAAAATACATTACAGAAAATGTTTTTTGTAATTACATGTTTTTAAGATAAAAATAGTAACATTATTTAAAGTAATAATTTTAGTTTAATAGTAGACTTATTCATCAACAATAAAATGATAAGTCAGTTTTGTAACTTGTACCTGGAGTAATTACGTCAAAAGTCTCTGCAAGAACAGTGCCTGAAGGTATTTCATGAAGTGACACTTTCAAATTGCCAGTTCCTGGTGGGTCAAACACAATTAAGCAAACTTCAGGCTTGACACCATGAAGAATCTTGGGTACTGTAATTATATATCCACGTTGTCTAAAAATAAGATATTATTGAAAGTCATGTGTCTGTAGTCTATTTTATTTTAAAAACAAACAAAAACATAGCCCTAGTACTAGTACTAAGTACTACTTAGTTTACTGCATATCTAATTCGGCTACGGAGTAAAAAAGCTAAATAAATAATTATCCTATAATTTATAAAGTAGAAAAGGCCTGCTGACAAAAGCACAATTTTAACCACCACGCTTTAGTACAATTCACACAGAGAGAAAATATACCGGTAACTAATAGGGATAAGATTTGCCACTACATACCTTCGTATTTACATTACAAGCTATTATATTGTTACGACAGCGGAAGAAACGTGACGCTGGTAACACGTCATGAGATTCTCGAAGGATCTTGACTTTTCCTGGCAGCTCTAGTCTGTTCTAGACGCACTCTTTTTTTGTATATAAGCCCGGCAAATAAAGCTGAGATATAATTGCAGATAGAGAGAGATTGAAGATAGAGATAATCGAGTCAAGCCGTAAGTAAAGTGTGTGAATCACTGTGATTTATAACGTGTTTTCATAAAAGTAGTCAAGTTTAAAGTGACTGTGGAAATTCTGTGTATTGCAAAGTTGTATCGAGAAAGAATAAACTAGTTTTAATTAAGAGAAGACTTGTATCGCTGAAGTTTATCGGAAAGAATTTATTCCGGAAATTAACAAACGACCAGATACGCAACAATATATTACTTTTAAATAGTGTTACGTCTCCGTTTGTTAATTGATTTTCCG